AACCACAGGTAATAATAAACACAATGCCAATTTATTTGTCTCACAATCTGATACATTTGGTTTTGGGTTTTTTGCTTGTTTTTCACAGGTACATTATGATAAAGATGATGTTTCAATAAAGTATGAAAGCACTGGAGGCTCTGGTGTTTCTGTCAGATACCACTGATCCACAACATCAGCTCAGCAGAAAAAAACTGCTGTTGTATTATCAGTATAATCTTATCTAGTTTAATAGATTTAATCCTATTGTTACGGCTCTGGCCATCTTTTGAATCACAGTGGCTGGATTTTGCTGGCAGCTGCTGATTGGTTCCATCATCAAGTGGCTGTTTTAAAAATCCTCTCCAGCAGTCTCCCCGGCAGTAGCTGACAGCAGCAGCAGGCCCGTCCTTGGCCTCCAAACCATCTATGACAGATCTGGGTGTGTGATTTCAGAGAACTGCCAAGTTTTGTATTTAGTGTGTTGATACTTTGACTTTTAACTAAGCACTGAAGCAGAAAGAGAGAACTGCCTTATTATTTTCTATCATTTTTTTCCCTTGTTTATTCAATTAGCGAGTTGGGGGTAGCGCTCGGCTTTTGTTTGTTTTAGATTTCTAAATGACCGTTATGGGTTTTGTAGCATGAGTTTATTGACCGTTAAATACCATTAAATCTGTATCAGTTTCTTCCTTCTTATTGCTTACAATAATGTCATCTGGAGATAAAATGTTTTTCTATTCATTTGTTATCTGCCCACAACTAGTTTTGCTCTAAATGAATGCCTGGCTCATTAGGTGTTTGTCTGGTCTCTAGATTTATTTGTCTTTTTTCATTTCCTATTTTATTTTGGTTAGTTTTCTTTCATTTCTTGGTAGCTTTACTAACACCTTTGCCAACTCTGCCGTGATTGCCTTGAGCTGGGTGTATTTACCTTCACCGGTTTCTGCCTCCCAATTTGTGTCTTGTCTTCCCTTTGCCCTTTTTAGTTTACTGCCTTTGCTGTGATAGTTTCCCTAACTAATCTTATCTTCCTTGCGTCAAGCTGGATTTTGATTTTGGGTGTCCTGTTTTTACTGTTCTTATTTTGTATTTAGCCAAAAGAAAAAAATCCACTGTGTAACTTGAATAATACCGACAGGCCTGTGACTGAAACACTGGTTATCACAAATAAGGTGTTCGTGATATATTTGTTGAATTTAATTTGCTGAACTCTAGGGTTTTAAACACTAGAGCATATTGATGAGCATATTAATATATTATATATAACATATTAATGAGCATACTTATTTACCAATTTCACAGATTATTGTTAAATGCTACTGCTGATAACCCCTGAACCACAGCCTCTATTCTCACCACTTACCGTTTTCTGTCAGAAAACCAAGGAGTGTCGCTACGAACCCAAAACATTTGGGGGCCTTACCTTCCCTTAATTTTTTTAGATTTTCACTTGTAACAGCAGATTCTTAAAAAAACAGTAAAATGAGCACACCACATTGGTAACGAACACACTTCCTCTCGACCTCATCAGGGGGAAATTACTTAAGATTAACGGTGAGGAACTGTTGGGTTTCACTCCAATAGCATTATCTGCTATATTTCCTGTACCTGCAGTTGTAAAATCAATTCATCAATTCATTGAGTCTGACACATTAACTGTCATGACCTTCTGATTTAAAAATATTTAAAAAAGGGGAGCTGCATTATTCCAAAAAATATCTCACATTCGACTTCTTTATTCATTATTTTTTTTTTCAATGTCAAACACATCAATGTCACAAATCAACTTGTGAGAATGACAAAAATATGAACCTGCCCAAGTCTTCATATAAATTTCCTTTAGAAAAAATGTTTCAGAAAAGCTGATTTACTCCAGCTGTGTAACATTATCATCAACATAAATGAGAGACGACTAAAAATTGCTAAATTTGTGGTGAACATGACAAATGACAGGGAAGTACAAACCGTCCTGAAGGGTCATCAGTTCAGAGACTGTGACAGTTGAGACTGAGAACAAGAACGAAGTGAGACAGAGAAGCAGAATGGATGAATTCAGATGGATTCAAATGTTTTTATGTCTGATGCTGATGATTCAGATTGTAGGTAAGGATAGAGGAAACATTTTTATAGCAGTGAAATAATAATCGTATCAATATTATTACAATCACTTACCAATAACATGAATAAGACAGCTGAGCATGATCTGCTGTTTCAGGGAAGCATGTTTATAAAGTTGTTTCTAAATTGATTTTCACTCTTATTGTAAAAAGTGCTGTATTCTAATGTTTTTTTATTGGTTTTCTTCAATGAAGATTGTTGATGACGTCATTCAGCCTCGTCTAAATGTGATGACCAGAATAACTGTGATGGTACTAAATGTTTTTTTATTTCAAGAAACTAACAGCACAGCTGATCAACCTTCGACAGATCGGTGAAAAGGCCACAACTAAACCAGACAGATTGATTATTGAGGTGAAATGTTCTCTCTCTGTTATAAAGTATTACCCTATTTACTGAGCAGGATACAACACAGTGAAGTGTGAGGTGACTGATACAGACACAGGAAGAGTGCAGCCATTTACCTTCAGCCCTCAGCCCTCAGGTGAGGAAACAGGTGAGCTCACGATCAACTGTTTAAGATGACCTCAAATATTAGTTTGATAGATTTTACATTTTTAAGATCTTTTTTTCATTAACAACTTGTGAAATAATGACACACTTTTTGGTTTGGTTTTGTCATTTATTCAGCTGAAGCAAACACAACAAAGGAACCAGCGAGAAAAACTGAAAGCAGCACAAATCAGAACCAAACACAATCAGCAATCCTTCAAAATCACGTAAGATTATGATGATTAAGCAGGAAAACACGTTTTCTTTTAGAGTTTAAGGAGAGTTCATACTTTAGTTTACATCTTTTTTCCTAATGAATATTATTTACATTTTGATGACAGAAAATCACTTACCTATCCTATAGGAAACATAAGATGTAACATTTGATATGATGGTGTGGTTTTGGCAGGAAACATTGTTCACTTGAGTATCATGGCTGTTAAATGGTGTGAAACGTTTTTCAAACATTAACATGCAAAAATGTTTCAAATTTGTTTTGTCTGCTTTATCGCAGCTATTTCGTGGTACATCAATGGAGCTATTGGTTTGGTCGCACTGCTGATAACAGCTGTGTGTCTCATCATAAGGAAAAGAATGAAAGGTGAGAACATTTACAGATACAACATTTGTAAGTTGTTCTATGAATGTTAGAGTTGACTGTTTTTGTCTTTCCAGGAAACAAAATGCAGAAGAATGAAAATCCTGTGAGTTTTGAAACATATAATTAAATATTCCTATATCTGCCACTAAAAAGACAATTAAATAAACCGCTCATCTTTGAGGGAGTGTTAACAAGAACTAAACTGCCTTCATAGAAATGCTTTTCCACCAGATGTAACCGCACTATTGTCTGTTTTTCAGGGACTGAGTTCAAACCCTGCAGAGACTCAAACCAATCAGAACTCGGTGAGATCACCCACTACACCTAGAGTTAAAAACACTTCTTCTTATTCTCTAAAAAATTGTAAATGCATGACACTAACTGAAAAAGCATCCAAAAGATAAGAAAGTTAGGCCAAAAATAAAATCAGTAGACCACACCATGAATCGTAAAACCTGAAGTAAGAGGTCAAAACACAAATGCAATATCTTGAGACACCATTTCTGAGAAATTAAAGTGATGAATGAAGAGTTGTTTATGTTGCATTACAGTGAGACATATTTTCAAGGATAGCTGTTGGCAAAGTAGGATCCAAGTGCAGAACTCAAATCCATGTTAAACTTAAAAAGCAGCTTTATTGCTGACCTTAGCAGGCCAAAATGCAAAACACAAAATAATTCAGGCAACACTAAAAATCTGGAAGTCACAAACTAGCCTCTAAGGAACATAGAACATAACAAAGAACAGAAGCAAACTGGGGCTTTAAATACACATGAGGAGATTAGGCCATAGTGGAGACTAGGAACTCAGTTGTACGGTGGCCCTGAGAGGCCACTGCAACTTAAGAAAACACCAGCAATAAGAAAAATGCTGCAAAAGCACACAAAACACAACAAAAAGAGGAAAAACGACAACGGATATAGGAAAAAACAGATTTCCAAAAGCACAACGTGTTTCTGGGGAGACAATAACCCGACGGACCAGTTGCAGGAACCAAAATATGCTAAGAATTGCGCTGGGAGACACTTAAAAGAAGTGGAGGATTTATCGTTTTGTGAGGAAAGAAAAGATGAGTGGTATATGTGTTAGCCTAACTATTAGCCTAAAAATCCATCCTCAGTATTATATGAATCATGATAAAACACACCTAGCATGTTTTGCGTCCCTGCAACTGGTCCGTCGGGTTATTGTCTCCCCAGAAACACTTCCCTTTGCTTTTGGAAATCTGTTTTTTCCTATTTCTGTTTTCGTTTTTCCTATTTACGTTTTTTTTCCTATGTCTGTTACCATTTTTCTTATTTCTATTTTGTTTTGTGTGTTTTGCAGTGTTTTTTTTATTGGTAAATGGACTGATTCTTATATAGCAATTTTCTACTCTCCCAGTGCTTTGACTACTGTAGGGGCACTGTAGGGGTGGCTGTAGCTCAGGTGGCAGAGCAGGTCAGCCACTAATCAGAAGGACGGTGGTTCAATCCCAGGCTGCCTCCTGGCTGCATGCCAAATATCCTTGGGCAAGATACTAACCCCATGTTTGCCTACTGGTGGTGGTCAGAGGGCCCGGTGGCGCCAGTGTCCGGCAGCCTCGCCTCTGTCAGTGCGCCCCAGGGCAGCTGTGGCTACAATGTAGCTTGCCATCGCCAGTGTGTGAATGGGTGAATGACTGAATGTAGTGTGAAGCGCTTTGGGGTCCTTAGGGACTAGAAAAGCGCTATACAAATGCAGGCCATTTAAACAACATGCCTCATTCACCCATTCATACAAGCACTTCTAAAGGTATAGGTCAATTGAAAAATCTAAATTGCCCATAGGTGTGAATGCAGGAGTGAATGTGAGCGCGAATGGTTGTCTGTCTCTGTGTGTTGGCCCTGGCGACAGACTGGCGACCTGTCCAGGGTGAACCCCACCTCTCGCCTTATGACAGCTGGGATAGGCTCCAGCACCCCCGCGACACTAAAAAGGATAAGTGGATGGATGGATATTACTGAGGAGTCAGCATGTTTTTCTCTTCATTGTTTAGGTGGATCCTGAAGTTTCCTATGTCACCATCAGCAACACCTAGAAAACCAAGATAAGGTGTTTTGTTTAGTGATATGTTTGTTTGTTTGTTATTATTTTATCTATATATCAGACAGCTTTTTTCAGATTCGTGTTGATGATGAAATGATGCAGTGACTTCTGCTCTACTGTCAATTTTAAAATAACATAGTTCAAGCTGTTGAAAAAAAAGAATTTGCATTTAATGGAAAGACAATTCTTGAATATTGTTTATGGGTCCAACAGATTTAAAGAAACACCAGTTTTTGGGACAGTGCCCAGCTACATTATAATACACTTATTTTTCCTTTTTTTAAATGAAAATATAATTGGTACCAGGAGTTCTTTGCTATGGATATGAGCAGTTGCTCTAAGAGAAGGCTGGATAGAAAACATACAACTAAAACTATTGCTATTGCTAGACTATTGAACAGCACACAGGATTCAGTGCCATGGTCATAGAGTTTTGAGTTGTATTTGAGTTTCAAATTTGTGTTCTGAAGATCTTCCTTAGCTTCTATTTTTATTATTTATTACCTGTTTTTACTGTTCATCTTATTTTGAATTTTTCCTCTGTCAAAAGAAAAGAAATCCAAAGTACTGAAAGGAATCTATGCTCTTTATTTTGTTCTCATTTTTATGATGATGGGTAGGTTGACAGTTGAGGTCAGGCAGGAGTCTCTGGTCTATTATGTTTGTGGACAACATTAAGAAACAGGTGAAAGACGGCCTGTAGCGGTGGAGGAGTGTTCTGGAGAGAAGTTGTGTGAATGAGAGGGAGACAGGTTTAACAGAGATGCTTCAGGGAGTAGAGGTAATATAGGTGGAGAAATTCAAATACCTGAGGTCAATGAGCCAAAGCAACATTTATGATGTTATTATCATTGTGTAACCACATCATTTCTTTAGGGATTAATACATTTTTCTGATTCACTGACACGCTGTTGTTATTTTAATCTGATAGAAGATGTGTATTCAAGTCTTAATCCTCTCTTATAATATGACTGTTGTTAAATGCCTTTAATGCCTTTATAGTTTGTGTAAGTGAAATATGTGCAGTGTCAAAAGTCCAGTATGAGTTTTATAACATGTCTTTCATGATGATTAAATAGAATCTGAATCAATATCTTGAATATTCTTTTTTATAGTAATGTAATCTGGAAAATATGCATTTCTATTAATTTGGTGAAATTCTATTTTGCAGAACAAATTTTAAACTCTCACAGTTTATGTCTGAGCACTTTTTTGTGTATTATTCCTTTTGTCCGCCAGAGGTCCTCAGTTTTCCAGTATTTGCACAGTCACCTGTTAGAGACTTAGAGACTTAGACTTAGAGCTTTTTATTGTCATTGTGCAGTTTCTTGCACAGCGAAATTGGGTAGCTGAACCACAAAGGTGCTAAAGTAAGAAGAGAAACCAATATACAACGAAGGCGGAAAATAAATAAATAATTAAATAAATAGAATAAAATAAAAAACAGTGTATATGTATACATATGTGAGTGGAACTATATACATGGTGTATGTGTAGGAAACATTGAAACAGACTGGGACCAAAATAATTGCACATGAGCCAAAAATATTGCACAGAACATGGAAAGACTGAGATATTGCACATAGATGATCAACAGCAGTGTCAGGGTGGATGTGTTGGGGAAGTCTTTACACACTCTTAGTTTGCATTAAGAGTTCTGACAGCCCACGGGAAAAAGTTGTTCTTTAGTCTGTTGGTTTTGCACCTGATGGATCTGAGCCTTTTTCCAGAGGGCAGGATGTTGAAGAGGTGGTGGTTAGGATGGAGGTGGTCCTTTATAATTGCCCTGGCTCTGGAGAGACATCTTGAGCTGGCAATTAAGTCCAGGGAGGGGAGTGGACAGCCGATCACCTTCTCTGCAGTTCTGATGACCCTCTGTAGTCTCTTCTTGTCAGCTGTTGTGCAACCAGCGTACCACACAGGGATGGCGTGCACCAGCACACTCTCTATAGTGGTAGAAGGACACTAGGAGGTCAGTCTGCAGCCTGTTCCATCTCAGCACCCTCAAGAAATGGAGGCGCTGCTGGGCTTTCTTCACTAGAGCTGATGTGTTTGTGGACTGTGTGATTCTTACTCTGAATCTGAATAAGTACGCGGGACCACTGTGTGCGGTAAGACCATCTCTTTTCTTCCTGTATTACCATCTACCGGCATGCATTGCCAGTGCGTAACACGTAATTACACAATCAAACAGTGAACACATACTGCCCATACAACAAATGTACCAGAGACAATTATGAATACACCACATCTCCCCTTTTAAACAAAAACAGAATATTCCTTTTCTCAGGACAGAACTTCTCTTTTTCAAAGCCATACAAGAACATCTGGCAAACAATCTGCATTACATTTTTAACCTTTTGTTTTTGTTTTCTTGTTCTTTTCTTTTCTTAACAACTCTTTTTAGCTTTATTTTACTGTGCTCTACAAAACCCTTATAACACAGTTACATAACAACAACCTTTCTTTTTTTTCTTACAGATCTAACTTTTTAGGTTTAACTATTGGCCTCCCTGACTTGGTTCTGACCACATCAGTGTTAACAGGTGTAGCAGGGATCACACTGGGTGTTTGAGGCTTCTGCAACACAGGCACATTAGCAGGTTCATGCACAGGTGAACTTAAAGGAATCAAATGCACGCAATTACACCTCGCAGTCCCTTGTGGTAACTCCACTGTGTATGATTGGGGTGGAGAATGATTTTGGATAACAGTGCCTGTAGTTTTGACATCAGTCACCCAAACTTGCTCTCCTGGGGACAGGCTGCATAAAGGTTTTGCGTGATGGCGCCTGTTGAAGTTTGCCATGTCCATCATCCTCTTCTCCCTTTCCTTTCGAGCGAGCAGTGCGTTGTCCGGCAGTGTGGGCTCCAGCTGCGATGGAAGCATCGGCAGTGTGGTTCGCAGACGTCTGCCCATTAAAAGCTCTGCAGGGCTGTATCCGGACTGCAGTGGTGTAGCTCTATAGGCAAGAAGAGCTAGATAAGGATCAGCTGCTTTTTTCAGAAGATTTTTTACAGTCTGCACAGCACGTTCTGCTTCTCCATTACTTTGCGGAAACTTGGGACTGCTTGTGATGTGTTTGAAGCCGTATGCTGCTGCAAAGTCTGTAAAGATTTGACCTGAATACTGTGGCCCATTATCAGACATGAGGACCTCTGGGATGCCGTGACGGGCAAAGAAAGATTTCAGGTGAGTAATGACATCGTTTGATTTTGTCCTGTTTAACAAAGCAATCTCAACAAATCTAGAGTGATAGTCAACAGCGAGAAGGTAAGTTTTCCCTCCCAGCTCGAAAAGATCTGTGCCCACTCTCTGCCATGGGTGGGCAGGGTATTCTGTTGGCATGAGTGGCTCACTGTTATTGTGTCTTTCTTGAATACACGTTTTGCACTTGAGCACCATCTCAGAGATTTGTTGACTCAGCCGGGCCACCACACTGTTTGGCGTGCACGAGCTTTACATTTTACAACACCTTGATGTCCTTCGTGTAGTTTTTCCAGCACCTCGTTTCTCATTGCTGAAGGAATGACAAGCCGTGTGTCTTTTAACAAAAGGCCGTCTTCAACAGTGAGCGTGGCTCGGTCAGGCCAGTAATTTCGCAGTAAAGGCTCTTGTTTTGCATGTTCTGGCCAGCCTTCGGTGCACATGTCCATGACGCGAGCACACACACTGTCGCTTTTCAGTTGTTCCTTCAGTGTTTGCATATATGATGAACTGACAGGCATGTTTGCTACAATACTGTCGACATATATGTCTGTGCTTTCCATTAGCTCTTTGTCTGACAGGTTCATTGGTTTTTTCAGAGGTGAGCAGGACAAAGTATCTGCTGTCCAGAGCGATTTCCCTGGGGCGTACTGCACAGTGTACGAGTAACGCATGAGTCTCATTCTGAATCGCTGGATCCTGGGTGGCAAGAGATCCAGAGCTTGTCCTCCCAGTAAGGAAACGAGAGGTTTGTGGTCCGTTTCAAGACAAAAATGTTTACCAATCAGGAAATCACGAAAACGCTCACACGCCCATGTAGATGCCAGTGCCTCTTTTTCCACTTGTGCGTATCGTTGTTCTGTAGGAGAAAGGGACCTCGATGCATACACCACTGGTCGCCATCCTTCTTCCCACAGCTGCAAAAGAACACCTCCGAGACCATAGGATGAAGCATCTGCTGATACTTTAATGTCTCTGTTGGGGTCATACATTGCGAGCACTGGGGGTGAGGTCAGGGCATCTCGTAATGTTTTGAAAGCTCTCACTTGGTCAGTTCCCCAATACCATGCGTTCTTTTTGGAAAGAAGATCTCGCAGGGCTTTGTCTTTTTCAGCTAAATGGGGGATGAACTTGCCCACTTGATTCACCATGCCCAGAAAACTGCGCAACTCTGACACATTAGTTGGCTCTGTCATTTCTGTAATTGCCTCCGTTTTCTTCGGGTCAGGACTGATTCCTGTATCCGCTATGATGTGACCCAAGAAAGCAACCTTGCTCTGGGAGAGCTCGCATTTTTCAACATTCAGCGTTATGCCTGCTTTTTCCAGTCTTTGCAGTGTAGCATGGAGACGGGAATCGTGCTCCTGATGGTTACGTCCCCACACCAACACATCGTCAATGTGACACACCACTCCTTCGAGACCCTCGATGACCTCCGTCATCATGCGCTGAAAGTGTTCGGGCGCTGAGTTGATCCCAAACGGTAGGCGGTTAAAGTGGAACCGCCCAAAGGGTGTGATGAAGGTGGTGAGTTTGGCAGACTCATCGGACAGGGGAATCTGCCAGAAGCCCATGTTGGCATCCAGTTTGCTAAACACTTTGGCTCCTGCGAGCATTCCGAGACTTTGTTCAACCGATGGCAGCACATATTTTCCCTGCACACATACTCATTTAGTCCGGTAAAGTCTACGCAAAGTCTTAGCCTAGGGCTGTTTTTCTTTGGAACAACAACCATGCCGGCACACCAATCCGTTGGTTCCTCAACTCGGGTAATGACACCAAGCTCTTCCATTCGTTGGAGTTCCTCTTTTACCCTTCCCATCAGAGGCAGAGGAAGCCTTCGCGGAGTTTTGAGTGAGTACGGCATAGCATTCGGTTTGAGTTTAATGTGATAGGCCCGCTGCACTTTCCCTAGACCATTGCAAAGTTTAGGGTAAGTAGTCTTCAGAGTGTCCATTGAAACCGCGTCAACTCGCACCAGCAGGCCAAGAGCTGTAATGGCGGGCAGGCCTAGCAGTGGAGTGCTCAGGTTTCTTACAACATAGACCTTCTCTGTTGTCTGTTTCGCTCCGTAGTTGAGCTGTAGCTTTGTAAAACCTGCAACGTCCAGTGGTGTTTTTCCAGGGCCTAACAAAGGTTTTTCTGGCTGCTGGAGAACTGGTCTGTGTGCGTTAGCAAAAATCTTTGATAAGTCCGAGTCAGCTATTACAGTCACATCTGCTCCAGTATCCAGTTTGAAAGTGATTTTTGCATCTTTCACTTGTATGTTGGCTGTCCACGCCTGGCCGTCACTGGAAACTGAGCCTAGGAAGAAACCTTGCTCCTCTTCCTCCTCAATACTTTGCACTGTCTTGCTTTGTCTGCAGACTCGCTGGTAGTGACCTTTTTTTCCACATAAATGACATTTTGCATCATTTGCTGGGCACTCAGGTTTCGGATGTGGAGAGCCTCCGCACTTGTAGCATTTGTTACTTTGTCTCTTGCTATATTGCTGTTGTGTTTTGACAGTTTTATTTTTGAACATGTTGAACTTTGTTTTGTCGTGCTTTTGTATCACTCTGTCAACTGTTTTCGCATTTACATGCATTACATTTGTTTCACTTCTCAAAGCTGACTGTTGCTTTTTGATTTCTTCTGACTGCCTGGCCATATTTATAGCTTTATCCAAGTCCAAGTCTTTTTCCATCTGCATGCGCTCAGACAGCCTCGTGTCGGCCAAGCCCACTACTATTCTGTCTCTTATCAGCTCATCGTGGAGCGGTCCGTAGTTACAGTGCTCTGCTAATGCATGCAAGGCAGTCACGAATGCATCAACAGTCTCATTCGGCTCTTGTTTGCGCATATTAAAACGTGCGCGCTCATAAACAACATTTTTCCTGACAAT